GGGGGGGGGGGGGGGGGGGGGGGGGAGGGGGAGGGGGGACAAGTACATGAGCCCTGCTATGCGCGGGCAGCCCATGTAAAGATGGTAAACCATCTGTCCTGCCCACTGGAAGGGTATGAGAGCCTTTTAAGTGGCTAAATCCAAGCTAAGATGGTGTATGTAAGGTTAATCAGAGGCCAGCTGGAAGCAATTGTCTGAGTGGTGGAGTGGCTTTAAAAGTTGACCATTGGTTTGAACTCTTCTCACTTTCTTGACCCTATGGTTTCCATTTGATGGTATCATCTTGAGGCATTTCTTCTGGTTTGTGTGCAATAGCATATTCACATCAGAGGCAAATTCATATTTTTCAACATTTAGTTAAATATTATATTATACACTGAAACTATAGATACAGCACACTAATCAATACTCTAAAGGCTTGATCTGATGTTATATTTAAATACTCCTGACAATTGCAGCCTTTGTTCTCAGTTATATTTGGAAAGGTTGGGAGCAGGTACACAAAGGGAGGGGACTTATTAGAGCTGCAGTGCACGTGAGTCCTAATCAAATTGGCTTTGTGCTAGAAGCTTGTTCATCTAATGAATCTGTTCCTCAGACATTGACACGCTGCATGAGATGGCTCTCAAGGTGAATGCTCTTTGTGCCTTCCCAATCATCATTGACATCTGCCAGAGATTCTCATTAAGGTGCCATAAAACAATTTTCTCATTCAAGTGGCATCTTTGCGATCTATTGGTAGATAGCTGTGCAATGCAAATGGCAAGCAAGTAAAACTAGACTCAGGTGCTGTCCGTGGTACTGAAATCTCCGTTCTTGTGTGGTGTGTTTTGCAAAGACTATAATTATCTGAGCCAGTGTGAACTCGGGTGGTATTGTGCCACTCGATGGCCACCCAGTGCATGTGAATTATATGCTTTACAAGGTTATAATAGCATTGTAGCAAGTGCAATATAAGAAGTATGCAGCCATAATTAGAAACTCAACTACCACGCCCATGAACACAGGTGAGTACAAACGGTATCAGTTTGCATAAGCTTACTATGTACACAACACGATGTGAATTATATATTGCCTGTTTGTGCACTGGAAATAACACAATGAAAAGCAGCAATTATTAATAAGCCTTCAGACTGTGGCAGATTTTACATCTCAAACAACATAAATCTCTTCAAACATTTATGCCAACGGAATTATAGACGTGAAACCTACTTGGTGGTCAGGAAATCATATAGATGTAATAGAACGGTGAGACATTTCAGCTGTTAATTATGCTGGGTTGCAAACGGACGCTTGAAAAAGAACCAATAATGGACATCTTGTATATTTTTAGTAAACTCAACTTTCTTTATCACAAATATCTAAACATTTTTGGAAGTGCAAGAAACCCTTCTTCAGGATCGATGGTGATATGTAGTTAAAACGAGCACGTCAAATGCAGAGTTTCTGTACAACTGTAATCGACTGAACGCGTTAACTGATGTAAAAACGCCGTGTCGATGTGTTAGTAATGGTTTTGAAATTATTTTACAAATGACAGGTGCTCAATAATCAGCGTGACAAGCCCTTCACCTACCTTAAACCTTGGAGACGTATCCATTCGCCTTGATTCCACTTAATTCTAAACGGAGGCGCTTTAAAGCCTTTGCGGTCTCAATACATCTTTTATTGTGTCATGTAAAGAAAAGAGAAACGGAGCAAGGTGCATTCGTTTGCACACCGACCTGCGCTGAAATCCGAGTCCTAACACACCATCCTTGTGTAGTTTCCACCAAGTTGAGCTGAAAACGGCCACACGCACTTCTAGATCAGACAAATATCCCAGATCTCTCGTTAAATTGTGCATTCCTCTCCCAACGCCAACCGTTTATTCCCGTATTTCAGTTGCTGACTGTTTCTCCATTGTTTAGTAGTGAATCCATTAACGTACACACACGCAATTCCGTTCGCAAACTAAAGCGATATCCAGAAACACCCCGAGTTCAGCGATTGATCCTAGTTTTAAAAAAGAAAAAGAATGGGTTGCGAGGAGTGCAGGTCAGTTGAAACATGTATCGAACGCGTGTAGACGGTGATCAAAAGCTCTCCAGAGCTGTGCAAATCTGTAGATGGCACAAACGAGTCAGAACGGACATGGTGCGTTGCAGGAACAACTCCGAGAGGCTTATCGGGATCACAGTAATGCACAGACGAACGTATGGCGCATGCCAAGGCGTCCGGATTTACGCATTATCTGTACATTCACCGAAGCTACATAATTAGACTTTGCAGGGAATGGTCGATCTGGGTTGACTGCCCGATAGTGTCGGATTGAATTGAGAGTATACGGATTATCTTTACCCTTACTTAACCTACATGATTAGTCTTTGAGAGATTGAGCAAATTTGTGTCAATTAACTTACAATACATAGAAAGCATGTAAGGTATTTACACCAAGAAGAAGAAGTGTAAAATAAAGAATAATCAAATCAAATCTAAAATTAAATAAAATGAATGTTAGTAGATAACTTCCATCCAAAAGCACGGCTACTGATTGTGAAAAAGTCTATTTCTTTCATAACTGGCAATATTATGAATTTGCTCACACAAATTTGATCGGTCAAGCGTTATTCCAAGAATAGTCTACTGATATTTAATATAACATGGGACATTTCCCTTTTGTCTGTAAAAAAAAAAATCCAGACTAGAGTATGTGAGGGGTGCAAAATTACAAGCAGACAAATTGTTTAATATGCTTTAAAGGGATAGTTCACCCAAAAATAAAAATTCGTCATCATTTACTCACCCTCCACTTGTTCCAATTTCATTCTTCTGTTGAACACAAATGACGATATTTTAAAGAACCAAACAGTTGACAGTATCCATTTTTGCCAAAAGTCAATGGCCATCATCAACTGTTTGTTTCCCAACATTCTTCAAAATAGATTATTTTGTGTTCAGCAGAAGAAAGAAACTCATACAGGTTTGGAACAACTTGAGAGTGAGTAAATGATCACTTTAATATGTTTAATATACAATTTTAGTTCAGAGACTGTTACCTAATGATTTTTCAACATACAGAAATAAATGAATTAATTAATGGTGTTATTAAATATGAATCCAATTTGGCGCTATGAGACAAATTCAAGTACATGAATCTGTCATCTCACGCAGTAATTAGGACATGGCATATGTTACAGCCATGAACCATGATTTGCTTCTTACTATTGCTATTCAGTGGCAGGTGGTATTGAGTGGAAATAGTCATTCTAGTGCATATTTGATTGGACAAGAATACATATCTGAGTGCAAGATGATTCAGAAAAATCTCTGGACTCCTGCTAGTGAAAGACTGTATGCTTTACATGCTTATGTATAATACAAGTGTATTTGATCCACCTTTAGTAGGATACCAACATAGATGTTAACCTCAAAGCTAAAAGGTAAAACAGGTCAATTACATTTTGATTAGGAATTTTCCAGGTTCCTCATTTTGTAAAACAAACAGAAATTATGTTCCCTTTACAATGATAGTAAATAGGGGAAAGTGATTAAAATCAGAAATGTGCAGTTTGCAGTACTGTTGTATGAATAGTAAAGTTCTCAGTCATCGTAGTGAATGACATACCTTTCTAAGCTTACTTCTGGTTATATGTACATTTACATTTACATTTATATTTACATTTAGTCATTTTGCAGATGCTTTTATCCAAATCAGCTTACAATTGGGGAATACATAAAGCGATTCTTCTTAAAGAGGCAAACAGTCACAGGAAGTGCTTGTAAAAACAAGTTTTAGGCATTGTTCAAATAAGTACAAGCTAGAAAGGGAAGGAATAAATAAAGAGAAAGAGTTTTTATTTATTTATTTATTTATTTTTTATTTATGATGAAGTCAAGTAGCATCGAAAGAGATGAGTTTTCAGCTGTCGCTTGAAAATTGTCAGGGATTCAGCATTCCGGATAGGGGTGGGAAGATCATTCCACCAGCCAGGAACAGTGAACGAGAATGTTCTGGAAAGTGATTTTGGAGTCTCTCTGAGATTCGCTCACTAGCGAATCTCAGACTTCTGGAGGGGATGTAGATTCGTAGTAGTGAGTGGAAATAGTCGGGTGCTGAGCCTGTGGCTGTTCTATATGCAAACATCAGTGTAGCCAGTGCAAGGAGATAATGAGAGGTGTAACATGGGTTGTTTTGGGCTCGCTGAAGACCAGTCGTGCCGCTGCATTCTGAATCATTTGTAGAAGTTTGATTGTGCTTGATGGAAGGGTCTGATCTTTCTGATGTTGTGCAATGCAAACCTGCAAGATCGAGCAGTCTTTGCAATGGGGTCTTTGAAGGTCAGCTGGTCATCCGAGATTACACCAAGATTTCTGACCGACGTTGATGGGGTAATTGTAGAAGAACCTAGCTGGATGGTGAAATCATGCTGTAAAGTTGCAGTGGAATGGAAGACAAGAAGCTCAGTCTTTGCCAGGTTGAGCTGTAGGTGATGTTCTTTCATCCATGCCGAGATGTCCGCCAGGCAGCCTGAGATCCGTGCAGCTACCGTTGGATCATCTGGTTGAAATGAGAGACAGAGCTGTATCATCAGTATAGCAATGGTAGGAGAAGCCATGTGCCTGTATGATGGGACCCAGTGATGTAGTGTATATGGAGAAGATGAGGGGTCCAAGAACTGATCCCCGAGGAACCCCAGTGACCAGTTGATGTGCTTTGGAGACCACCCCTCCCCAGGCCACCCTGAAAGACCTACCAGTGAACTTGGATTCAAACCAGCAAAGTGGAATTCCTGTGATGCCCAGTGAAGAGAGTGCAGACAGGAGGATATGATGATTGATAGATCTAGCAGAATTAGAACTGATGATTTGGAATCAGCTTTTGCCATCTGCAAGGCTTCCGTCACTGACAGTAACACAGTCTCAGTTGAATGGCCACTCCTGAAACCTGACTGGTTTGCGTCCAGTTTGTTGTTCTGTGAAAGAAACAATGATACCTGGTTGAAAACAACTTGTTTGAGAGTTTTCACTTTGAATGGAAGGAGAGAGACAGGTCTGTAGCTATCTGTGTATGTGTATATGTACTACAATATGTAATTATGTTGAGTGGAATGTTCTTAAAAACTCTATTTCTGTTATCCTGGAACTTATTATACAAAAGACAGGAAATGAAAGACAGCATCTATCAGTGCACAGACAGAAGCAAGTTATGTTATCGTATTAGTCGTATGGTTACACATATAATAACCAATTTTTCATTTAAGCATTTATATCAGTCAATGCCTAGCCTCACAGACTTCAATTGGAAGTGCTTTACTGGAAAGGCTTGGCTGCATCCAAATATGCACACCATACCTTTTTACTATATTACATAAGTTGTGTTATATATTATTGTACATTTTATGACTTAATAAATCAATTGTTTACAATTATTTAACAAAGTTATTTTTCAGTTGCTATCAGGCTGTGAACAATTAGGTGGCAAAGATATCTCTCGCTGACAGAAAAACACAAAAACAGTTTTCCTGTTAATTTTTAACTCATCAACGGTTCCCAAGAGATTCCTTTTTTTCAGTGAATTAAAGAATGGCCATTTTCCAATAATGAAAAATGGAAAGTACAGAGAAAGAAAGCCACTGCTCACAAGTAAAAACATGACAGTTCATATTTGTTTTGTTGAAGATGCTGCTGATGAAAGCAGAATAGATTTGCAGTGTGCAGAAGCATTGGCTCAGACTCAAACAAATGTCATAAAACTCATTAAATGCCCATCTGCCATGCAGCCGGACAGTGACCCAAAAAACTGCTGAAGTGACCAAGGAGTTTTCAAGGCTAAAGAGCAGAATGATCACCACAGGGTAATGTAATCACTCTACTTCAGTTCATTTGAGACTGAAAGCAAAAAGATCCAGAAACAAATAGGAACTGTGAATGACTGCAGTACAGCCTTGACAGAGCATTACTCTTTAAGATAAGTCTTCAACAGGAGGTCTGCAGATGTACTACTACTGCAGAGTTTAATTTGTGTGTGTGTGCGTGTGTGTGTGCGCGTGTGTTCTCAATAATCTCAAACTTTTGCTATGACAGATTTTCATCAGTTGGATTGCAGAATGGCCTTGTATGAAATCAGTGTAGATCAGAGTAAGAAATTGGCAGGGGATTGGAGCAAAACTGCTGTTAAAAAAGGCATGACATCATGTGCATAATTAAAAATTTTGTTAAGCATTGCAAAAAGTATCAGTTTTATTTCATAGATTGAAAACTGCTTTGAAATTATGCAAATTGGCAATAGAAAATCTGTTTGGAAAAAAAAAACATCCTCTTCCCTTAAAAAGGCTATAAACTATTTAAATAAAGGGGTCATATGATGCTGCTAAAAATAACATTATTTTGTGTATTTGGTGTAATGAAATGTGTTTACGCGGTTTAAAGTAAAAAAAACACATTATTTTCCACATACTGTACATTATTGTTTCTCCTCTATGCCCCGCCTTTTTGAAACACGTCGATTTTTACAAAGCTCATCGGCCTGAAAAGCGAGGTGTGCTGTGATTGGCCAGCTATCCAGTTTGTTGTGATTGGCCAAATACCTCAAGCGTGTGACGGAAATGACAAACAACAACTGCTACTCTACACTGCCCAAAACTCACGTTTGAATCATCAGTGGCAAATCCTTTAAATTAAAATGTACTTACAGACTGTGACAGAACTGCTGGGAGTGGCAACCACATGTGACGACCCCGGGCTGGACTCCGCTTCGTCCACAGTGAAAGTCGATCCGGCGATCCACAGCAACAAGTTGATGTATTCCCTCAGCGACCTGCACAGATCAGCTCTAGGCATGACGAAGCGGATATCGTCCTCTTTTGGAAGACCAAACAAAGTAGTTTCGCTTTCACAAAGAAGCACACAGTGCCTTGACGACATGGCGGCAGTGGCAACAATACTTCAGTGAGAATAAAAGTTATGCCTTCTTTCTTTGCGTGAACATTTGGGAGGCGTTATGCAAATCTTCCCACATAGTGAGGTAGATATGTGGGGGCATGTTAGAACGAGCCGTTTTAGGTAGGCGTGGTTAACTCTTAACTTTTATAAAGAATATATCTTTGGATTTGAGACTTTAGTCTTTGCAACTTTACAGATCTTCTTTATGCACCAAGCATAACAGTGTT